GTGGAACGAGGAGGGAGATTTAGATGATGTTAGGTAGAATTTCAACTTCTAATAAAATACTAACAAAAATCTGATACCTACAAGGAAAACTGAGCAAGCTGACAATCACCTTGGCCACTGAAGGCACTCATTGAAGAAGGAATGTGTTTTAATATGTTAATGTTCATGAACATTTATAATGTTACAATCTTTCATCTTAATTTTGAAATATGTTATTTAACACAGAGGGGTGATATCTTAAAAATGTTCCTTCCATTCAAAAAGAGCCATAGTAATACTGACAGATTAAACTAAATTCCAGTGTATAACCATTTCCATAATCTATATTTTGCTTTTTGGCAAAGTTACTCATTTTCTTAGCAAAGTTCAATGTTTATTTTATTTTGATTAAAGACTTAAAAATACAATGTGACATTTTATGTGTTTTTTCCCCTTCAAAAAATAGTAATACATATTTCGGAGGCCTCCAGAACTTTGTTAACAAAGGCTAAATTGACATTACCAGGAATATCACACTGATAATATTTTGAATATAAATATATTTGCAAGTTCTCTTTATTCCTATACAGCTCAAAGCCTCACAAAACACATCAGCATCCATTTGTATTATCCTTTAGGCATGCCCTGGACGAGGCCTGCACCTGGATGTGAGAATATCCAAACTGTAAGAATTGGTGGCCAGTGGGAGCACAGGGAGTGGGGGGTGGAGTAGGCCTCTGTTCAGCAGCTGTCCAAAGGACAGAACTGGAAGAGGATGCAAATCCTTTCTCCCAAGCTGTTGGCCTCAATTCAAGCAAGTAATTTGTTTCTGGAGGATTAACTCCATCTCCCTGTAAAACTATTTAATCTTTCCATGTACAGATGCCACCAATACTTCAAGTCATTCTAGTGATGAAATTATTATATAACAAAGATAACTTAAAGAAATTGGATAAAGAAACAAATATATACATATGAATTTAACTGGATGATTTGTTACTTTAAAAATGTTGTTGACAAAATGAAAAACTACTCCCTCAAAAATAACTTGATATAAATGTTAAATCAAATATGCACAAACTGTATATACAGGAATGAGATCTTATTCACTCAAGCTTTGGGGGCAAGAACAACAAAAAAGCAACATTCTGATATGACATGTTCTTATAAGTGGTTAATTAGATGATGTTAGGTAGAATTTGAACTTCTAATAAAATACTAACAAAAATCTGATATCGACAAGGAAAACTGACCAAGCTGACAATCATCTTGGCCACTGAAGGCATTCATTGAAGAAGGAATGTGTTTTAATATGTTAATGTTCATGAACATTTATAATGTTACAATCTTTCATCTTAATTTTGAAATGTTATTTAACACAGAAGGTTGATATCTTAAAAATGTTCTTTCCATTCAAAAAGATCAAAATAACTAAAAATAACTTTTCTTTCATTTTCCCTACTTTCCAGAATGCTAGTATAGAAGTTTCATGGGGGGAAAAACCTGGAGCTTTAAAAAAAAAAAAAAATCTATTGCTTAAGAAAAGAAAGAAAGGCAAAAACAGTGTAAAGTTGGCTGCCTGCGAAAGCTGTGAGGCTGGGCCAAATACCTATTTTTTAATGTTCTTTTGTTCCTACATCTTTTCTCATACCTCTTTAGTTTTCCCAGTTCCTGAGAAGACTTTAATCCTTTAGGTTAGTCAACAAATACAGTGTTGGGTCCCAGAAAATGATACCCCCATACTGGGTGCTTTGACATGCTGATTGGCCCTATAACCTACCTCAGATCCCAGGTTCCTCCCATGTTCTGTGTCTCCCCTTCTATTGCATTTCCCCCTTTTGTGCCTAAGATCCAGCCCACCAAGGAGAAACAATCTCCTCTTGCTTCCTGACTCTTCATTAACTGAAGTCACATCTTGGGAAGAGACCGAAGTCTGTCAACACACCTAGACGGACTTCTAGAGAAATTGTCCTCCACTTTGGTCCCATAGGTAATCCTTGACATACTACTGTCCACTCTGTGGGCCAAACAGATTTTGTTCCAGGCCTCTGTATATTCTCCAAACCCACAAAGTACCCCTAAAAATCATTTTATTATTCCCCTAAAAATGTTCCTCATTCTCCCCTTTCCCTATAGAAAATAAAGGCATATATTTTTCTAAATAATTGAATCTTTGTCAGAGAACAGCTCTGAAAACAAGAAAGCGAGAACAACTTCTTTCTTTACTTCCTCTGAACTCAACCTTCTTTATTTCTCTCCCTTAATCCAGAATTCAATATATTACTAGTATTATATATTTACACTATAGGTAAACAGGCTTTAATAGGTTAGGTTGAGATACAATTATTTACTGGGTTTTTTGTTTGTTTGTTTTTTGGTGCTGGGCTTTGAACCCAGGGTCTCTCTCATACATGTTTGGGAAACACTTTACCACTGAGCTATATCCCCAGCCTTAAAATACTTTTAACCTAAAAATTATAGAAAGGCCAAACATCAAATTGAAAAAACAAACTTAAAGCATAATCTGAATTGATGTTTGACTCCTGTATTAGACACAAAGTAAGAGGATAAAGTCTGATGAATTCAGGAACCAGGGCTTTCAAAGCAGAATGAGGTCTTTGACATCTGGAGGTGGATTAACAGAACATGAACTCTTTTTTAAAGTGTAGCTAAAGTATCAATCTGGTTAATTCAAGGCTCTTTACTTCTGTTAGGCATAAAGCAATGCTGGAGATTTGGCTGCTGTCAGAGTGAAGTCATTCTAGGTCACCCTGTTTTTTATGGGGAGGGAAGCAGAGGGCTCTGGGTGTACTGCTTCTTTCCCAGGAATGTCAGAGAAGGCTCCTGCAGTTGAACTGATATCACAGGAGAGGAATCATGTGACAACTTAATTCAGAGTAACTATCCAGGTTTAGGGTTACTTTAGGGATATAAAATATCCTTGCTTCTTAAGTATAAGAATTTTGTGGTTTGCTACTGAACAAAACAACTTTCACAGTATTCTTAAAGGGTCTCATCTAATTAGAATCATTTAAATCTAGGTATAGGTAATAACCAAGAAAGTCTTTCCATTGAACACCTCTATCCTTCTGTTATTTGTCATTTTTATTACTGAGAAGCTTAAGCAGCAATCATGACACCACAAGCAAATGACTATAATGATATTTACATTACCTAATATTGATAATTTTTTTCTAAAAAAAAATGATATCTGGTCACCACCATGACTATACTTCCTTGCATTTGAGAAAATGCCAAGTTCAAAGTCGAGCTTCCTTTGTTCTTCCAGCATGAGTCTCTTTAGGCAGGATGGTTGGGGAAAAGACTTGATTAAAATAAATTATCCTAGAGAAGAGTTTAACACTGGACAAAGCATGGGTAACGGACAGATGGAATTTGGCCATGGGAACAGAGGGGGCCAGGACCTGGAGAAAGAACAGGGAAATACTCTTCCTGGATGCTGGGCGCTTCTCTCCTCTTCTATCAGTTCAGTCTCCAACTTTTCTCTTGTCTCCCCTACTCAGTTCTCCACCATTCTCTTTCCAACTCTCTCCCTTCCCTTCTACCCCCAACCCCAATTCTACAATATCTCCATCAGTTAATCCTAGAAGTAGACAGGGGCCCAAACTCATTCTGAGAGCAATACAAATAATGAATAGAAATTAAAATAAAAAATGTCTTAGCCTCAGTAATAATCTGAGAACTTGGAATCCAAACAGATACTTTGAAAAGGTCTTGAACTGGGGTAGAATGACATATGCAGTCAGACTGCTTTTTACCTACACATTTGCTTGACTCTAAATTTAAATGCAGCACAGCTTGCTCAAGATGTAAATGACTAAACTTTCCAAAAATTATCCTGATCAACAGAATTACTGGTATTTTGGTATTTAAAAGTAGCACAGAATACTGGAATAACTAAAATTGATATTATAATTGCTAAAGTAAGTAAATAAGGAGTGTATATTATAATGAAACCTAAGATTTTTATGTCTAATATGAAAATAACATCTTCAGATATTACAATTAAGATTAGGAAAGTTTGCCGGGGGCAGTGGTGCATGCCTAAGATCCCAAAGGTTTGGGAGGCAGAGGCAGGAGAATCGTGAATTCAAAGCCATCTTCAACAAAAGTGAGATGCCAAGCAATTCAGTGAGACCCTGTCTCTAAATAAAATACAAAATAGGAATAGGGATGTGGATCAGTGGTTGAGTGCCCCTGAATTCAATCCCTTGTACTAAAAAAAAAAAAAAAAAAAAAAAAAAAAAGATTAAGAAAGTTAGTGTTCAACTTTAAGTGTGCATTAAAATATCCCCACCCTCAATCATTCTGTGGTGTTTTTGAAATTTCAAAAGCCTCTCTGGTTATGCTGATACATATTTATATTAACTTAGAGGATGTTACACATTATTACATTGAACTCCCAATGTACTCCACTTAGTCACAGTAAAAATTTAAGATCCCACATGCAAAGCTCTTTGCCTACTAATTTCATCATGTCTTAGGATTTGTTTTTATTTGGTAAGTTCTACAGTAACAGGTGAAAAACACATTTAAACTTTCTTTCCCTACCATTAGGAAGTTATTCAGCACTAAATATATCAAGTGAGAGTTTAAAAGTAATAGATTTAGAGGTGGGCTTGGAACTAGATATTTTTAAAAGTAAAGCTATTCATCTACCACACAGAATAAGGAACAGGCAGGAGTGAAGCTAAGGTTGAAAAGGGAATTATATGATCATCAAATTCTTCCTGAAGCATGTCCTCAAAAATGGATTCATTGTTTTCATTTACATTGATGAGAACTTATTACACATGCTCACCTTCAAGTGGAAAGAGAATATTAACTGGCGATACCTATTTTGAGACCATGAACAAATTAATCTATGTAATAGTTACTCTGATATTAAAAATCATGAGCTAATTATACTATTTAGATACTTTGAATATTATCTTAACTTCAGTTTATTTGCTTTTATTTCTCATCTACATATTATGAAAAGCTAAAGTTTATTAACATACCTGGGGTCAAGAAGACTCCTCAAAAATTTGAAAAGTAAAACCTGGTTCTGAAGAGAAAAACAATAAAAAAATATAATTAAGTACTAAAATGAATTTTCCAAATTATGAACTACTCTAGACAGCCTCTTAAAAATACACATATATGCTTAACATTCTGTTAAGCCTCTATACATATCTTCCCATTTCATTAAGCCTCTATAAGGTTCTAAGAAATTCTAAAGAATCATCTGGAGGTCCTTTATGTCCTTCCAACAGTTCTAATCATTGTCACACATTCAATTTTGGGTGTAAAAGAGATACAACTTGTTATCTCAAAAAAAAAAAAAAAAGATTCCTACTAAGAAAAACTCCTGAGCTGTTCCCAGAATGAGGCCCTCCAAATGGCAGGTGTTTGAATTGCTCTGCTGGTGGCACTGATAGGTTTCAAACTGCCTGTATTTCTTGTGTCAACAGCCTGCTGGGAAATAGTTTATTTAGGTAGGGTGGGAGTTTGAGGCTCAAATTAACAAACACCATCAAGACAAATTCACTGTTGATATAATAGTGGTTCATACAATACAAGTTCATTGTTGATACATTAGATATAGCAATCAAATTGCAATGTGTCTGCAATCAATATGCCATAAAATCTGGGTTCTGCTTCTGACACTCATTAGCTATATGACTTTATGTTAGCATTCAATTTCCTTAGGAGGAAGCAGAGAGCAGAGAGACAAAAATATCTTCTCTGCCTTCTGCACAGGGTAATAGTGAGAATTAAATGAGATAAATCATCTTATACCCCATGTTTCTAAGTTTTGGGGAACCTAAATAACAATTATACATGCTTAGTTTTTCATCTTTTTTTTTTCTGACACACTCAACCCTCATCTGTAAAAAGGAGGAGACTTCCAAAGTGAAAATAATTAATGTCATATAGAATATACTTTTAAAAATATATTTCAGTCTTGGGGCTGGGGTCATGGCTCAGTGGTAGAGGGCTCGCCTTGCAAGTGCAAGGCTCTGGGTTTGATCCTTAGCACCACATAAAAATAAATAAATAAATAAATAAAGTTAACATGTACAACTACAAAAAAGGTAAATATTTAAATTTATTAATTATATCATTTATATTATATATATTTCAGTCTTTAAGAAGATTGACACACCAGGTGCAATGTGTAATCCCAGCTACTTGGGAGGCTGAGGCACAAAGATCACCAGTTTGATGCCAGTCTGGGCAACTTAGGGAGACCCTGTCTCAAAATAATTTTTTTTTTAAGGGTTGGGGATATAGCTCAATGGTAGAGTGCTTGTCTAGTATGTTTAAGGCCCAGGATTTGATCATCATTCTGCAAAAAATAAAAAAATTTTTAAAAACCCAAAACTGACACATACATACTTACTAGTCTTTATCAGTCTTTGATTTCCTATCTTTTCTCCATCACTTTGCTTTATTTTATATGACTTTCCTCCTGGTTATAAATAACTTAACATTCTTACTTATTTTTCTTTTCAAGAATTCTGAAAACTATTAGACAGAGACACATTGCTTCTCATCAGAAGTAAAGGTACTTTATAAGATCTTTGTAGAATATACAATCAATAAAACTCTAGAATAAAATTTCTTTAAAAGAATACTCAGCAAATGGGCCATGGTCAAATAGACACTTTTTTTTCTTATCCATTACACTTCAGCTTTTATATATCTACATAATGAATAACATTATATTTGATTACTAGGCCTCTCCATTTCTTAATATCCTTATAGACAGAATACAGGAAAAAGAAATCCTGAAACTGATAATATTACATTTTAAAGGGCAATGATGACAGTACCATCAAAACAAGTAAGATTTACCAGATTTTTAAAGGGTAGAGAAGCTCTGGGGATTGAGAATGGTGTGAGTAGAAATATCTGTCTTCCCAGCCCCCAAAAGACTGGTTATAATGTGTTGTTATGGTTTGGACGTGAGGTGTTCCCCAAAAGCTCACTCGTAAGACAATACAGGAAGGTTCAGAGGAGAAATGATTGGGTTGTAAGAATCTTAACCCAATCAGTGATTTAATCCTCTGATAGGGATTAACTGAGTGGTAACTGAAGTGGTAGGGTGTGGCTGGAGGAGGTGGGTATTAAGGTGTGGCTTTGGTGTATATATTTGTATTTGCAGTGGAGTCTCTGCTTCTGCTTCACCGTGATGTGAGCTGCTTCCCTCTGCCACACTCTCCCACCATGATGTCAGACTCACCTCAAACCCTGTGGAATGGAGCCAGCTTCTATGGACTAAGACCTCTGAAACTGTGAGCCCTCAAATAAACTCTTCTTTCTTTATACTTGTTCTGGTCATATCCTTTAGTCATGGCAGCAAAAAAAAAAAAAACTGACTAAAACACCTGTCCCTCCATGTACTTTCTCAATATCCTGGGCAGTACGCTATCCTCATTCCAGTCAAACGAATCTGTAATTGCTTTTTAGTTTATTTTCTTCCTTGGAAGCAGTGATTGTATTTATAGAAATTAAATGTTTTTGGACAAACAGAATAAATATTTGTGGAATTAACAGATGTGTCTTTGCCCGGAGTTAAAAATGGACATAATGCTGGACAATCAAGCCTTATATCTGGGAATTGTTTTTAAATTGTCTCATTATATTCAATTAACTTCAAAGTGCTATACATTTTACTTCATCTGGAATCTGTCCTCTTCACTACTAATGACTTTGTCCTGGTCCTCACATCTTTTGCCTAGACCTTTTGCTTTCTAATTGTTCTCTCTGTTCCATTTGCTCTCCTTGCCACTCTACTCTCCACACTGCAAGCCAGAGTTAATTTTCTACAAAATGGATCTAATGATACCATCCTTTGCCTAAAAGACTTAAGTAATTCTCCAACACATAGAAAGTAAGTACAAATTTCTTAGTATTACATATGATATCAGGCCCAAAGCTAGATTTTCAGCCTCTGTAATTTTAACTTATCTCTTCCAACGTGTCTCTAGCCCACTGTTGCTCTCCACGTATCACACCTCACACAGATCTGACATACTCTGAACACAGGCTGCTTTATTCCTTTAAGTTTTCGCATGCCCATATCACTTATCTAGAAAGCCATTCCCCATTCTGTTTGGAAAACTATTATTGATTACTCAAGACCCAATTCAGATAGTTTTGGGAATCCTTGTCTGACTTTCTCATAGTCCATCAATCTCTTCTTTAATGTAGCTCTTATACCATTATATTATATTTATATAAATGCTTCTCTGTTCCATAGAAAAAATTAAAGGAAAGGCTGTCTTCTTATTCATGTCCTCATGCACACTGAGGAACAGAGTAGAGCTGTAACATGTATTTTTTAGTTTTAAGTGGACACAATATCTTTATTTTACATTTGTGTGGTAGTGAAGATCGAACTCAGTGCCTCAAGCATGCTAGGCGAGCACTCTACCACTGAGCCACAACTCCAGCCCCTGCAACATGTATTTAATTTAAACAAATGACTTCCATATCTTTGTCTCCATGCCAACTGTCTCCCACTCACTCATGTTCTGGTTTTTACCTTGTAGTTATTCCCCACCACTATTATTGCCCTTTGAAGATTCTGTGTTGTGTTTTATGTCCCCGTCATTGCCTATTCCTTACCTCTATCATGTGGCCATAAGGTAGTGAGTAACTAAGTAAAACAAACCTAAAAGAGAATAAAATTGTGGGTCCTATAGCAAAATAAGAGGGAGAGAAGAGGAGATTTTCTATGAGTTGTGATTTTTAGAATAAGTACAGGTTACAGTTCCAAAGATGTTTCTTTGTTATGCCTAAAGACAAACTCCTTCATTTCCAGACTCAGAGATCATCACACAGCTACTCCCAAACACATACACACCCAACATAGAGATTATTACGTGGCAACTATAAACTTAAGAAATAACTACAATCAGAAGTTCTTAGGTGGAAATTCATTTCTTTCCACTGTTATTTTTTTGCCCAATATATATGTGTAATATTTACCTGAAAATTTTTTAAAAATATTTTTTAGTTAAATAAATAATAATATATTTTAGTTAAATAAATAATAATTTATTATTATGTAGTGCTGAGGAGTGAACTCAGCGCCTCACATGTGCCAGGCAAGTGTTCTACCACTGAGCCACAACCGGAGCTTACCTGAAGTTTTTTAATGACTACTTCAATCTGTCCAGAAAAGTGTGTAGCAACCAACTCAGCAGCTTTACAGGGCTTCAGGGATACAAGTTCCTGGAGTTAAATGAAAAGAAAAATCCATTTTTAATGGTACTTTTAAATAGAATATTCACAGATGTGAGCTATGATTACCTATTTCAATACTGTCAAAAGCTTCACATTGCTTTTCAGGAGACCTTGATTTAGCGCTGCACTTTAAAGGGCACACTGCAAATGAGCAAATTTAGATGTGTACCTTATAATAATTCAGAGTTCAATTTAACAAAGGGTAATTCAGAGTTCTTAGAAAATGAAAGCACTATAATACTATGGATTCTGGCTATGATATCTATAGGATGAACATAAAGAACAAAAGCTTCCCTGTCAATGAATTTTACTCTTGAACCTAAAGCAATAAAGAAATGAGAAAGAGTATGGTTGCAATTTCTTGCCTAAGAATTCTAAAACTTTATCTCTGGGCCTTGTGGATTTAGAAACTGGAAGAATCTTCAAAAATCAACTATAGTCTTAAGGAGACTAAAACGTCAACCACTGTTAATTAACTACTGTTAAAAAGGCTTATTTTTGTCAAATCAAAGAAAGGATTTATCCTTGGATTCTAACATCTATGATTCTGCCTTCCCAGCTGTACCTTTTTGGTCTAAAAAAAAGAAACACGAAAAAAACCACCAAAAGTAAGAGTAGTCAAGAGTTGTGCCACATGTATCAAATGAGTGGTATCAAATGAATAGTCAAGAGTCATGTCACATGGAAAATGTAAAGCCCAAATGGCCTCACCATTTAGTTCTAATGACCATTTAGGGAAGAAATAACACCAGCATTAATTAACCTCTTACAGAGAATAGAAAACTTCTTTAGGTTATTGTATAAGGTCAGCAACATTTCGATAACTAAACATAATGGGACAATATTAAAAAAAAAAAAGAAAGAAAAGTGTGCATAAACCTTACTCCTGAATACTGACACAAAATTCCTGAAAGAAAAAGAAACCCAATAAAAAACACACACAAAAAACAATATATCAGGTTTAAATTGCATTTACCTGTGGAATTCAGGGTTGGTTTAATATCAACAAAATTTATCAACAAAACAAACAAGAAAAAAAACACCATTATGATAGAAAAGGTGAAAAATTTCAAAGTCCATTCATAAGGAAATCCACAGGATGTTAAGGAACCTTCTACAAAAAAAAAAAAAAAAAAAAAACCTTATAGGAAACATCAGACTTTGTTTCATGTGAAAATTTCAAAAATACTGTTACTAGAAGCATTAATAAAAATACCAACTTGTAGTTAGCCTTAGTAGCATATGCCTATAATCCCAGTTGCTCAGGAGGCTGAGGTAGGAGGATCAAAACCTGAAGTTTTAGGTGATAATAAAGGAAGATATTTTTTTAAGTACAGGAGAATAATTGATTATACGTAATAAGATTCTGCCTCAAAATAATAAATGAATGGATACATAAATAAATAAATAAATAAATAAAGTGGGCTGGGTACAGCATCCCTGGGTTCAATCCCTAGTACCCCCCACAAAGAAGTTGTAACCGTAAATCTAACAAAGGATGGAAAATTTCTACAGAGAAAAATCATAAAAACTATAGAAAGATATTGCATAAAAGATTATACCATACAATCACAGATTAGAAGACTTAATTTATTGATGTTCTTTAGCATCAATTATCTTCACAATCATGGGCAGATTCAATGCAAGGCCAGTCAGAATCACAAAATTTAATTTCTTTCTTTCTCTTTTGATGGAATTTTATCAGCTGATTCCAAAATGTACTTGAAAGTATTCAAAGTTTATACTAGCCATGACCTTGTTAAAGATATAGAGACATACTATATATCTTAAAATAGTATGGTACTGATGCAGAGATAGACAAAGAGGCTAATGAAACAGAAAGACCAGAAAGCAGCCCAAGTATAGAGATCCTTGATATACTTATGACCATGTTATAATAAATGCTGCTGGGAAGACAGGACATTTGTATTTCTTAAAAATAACAGGATACCTCCAAAATTAACTAGATCCCAGTTTTATATCACATATGAAAATTGCTTTCAACTGGATCCCAGATTTAAAGATTAAAAAAAAAAAAAAAAGACCCAAGAGTTAGGGGTGTAGCTAAGTGACAGAGCACTTCCCTAGCCCTAAGTTTCATTCATAGCACCACTATAAAACAAATAAACAAACGTTTTAGGTGATAATAAAGGAAGATATTTTTTAAGTACAGAAGAATAATTGATTATACTATTTAAAAAACACTTTTCTTAAAAAGAAAAAAGATTGAGGAGAAGATGTTTGCAGTACATTTTTGAAAAAAGACTAACATCCATGATACATACAGAAATCCTACCAATCAATAAGTATAAGACATTCAATTGAAAAAAATTGGGCAAAAGACTTCAACAGGCATATCACCAAAGAGGAAATTTAAATAGCCACTAAACAGGGAAAGGCTATCTATAGTAATTAAGAAAATGTAAACTTAAAACATAATTAGATACCATTACACATCACCAGACTCACAAAGTTTTCAAGTCTGGCAAAGATATAGAGTGAATTAGAACTCTCATATTATGCTGGCATCCAGTAATATTTAAGGTATTAATTCCAATTAACTAGCAATTATATACCTTAAAGCAGAGATTATAAGTAATCATGCACCAAAATCAGTTGGAGGGCTTGTTAAAACACAGATTGTTGGGTCCCACCCCAAGAGTTTATCATTCAGGAAGTCTGAAGTCTATCAAGTTCTTAGCTGATGTTGTAATGTTTGTCTGAGACCAGACCGAAAACCACTGCTCTAGAGAAATGCATGTGGCTGTGCTCAGGAGGCATACCTAAGAATAATTGTGCACTGATTATTTTTAATAGTCAAAATCCAGAAACAACCAAAGGTCCATCAACAATAAAATGAATAAATTGTGACGTATTTATAAAAGGAAATATGCTACAATAAGCAAGAACTGTAAACTACGCATAGAAATGGTCCAAACTTCTTAAACAAAATATAAAGCAAAAATAAAACAAAAAATACAGTATAATTTCATTTAAGTACAGTTCAAAAGCATGTAAAACAAGAACACAATTAGGGACGCATGTGGATGCAGTAACAGTATATAGAAAGGCAGGAAATTATCACAAAAACTGGGATAATGAAGATAGTGGTGGGAACAAGGAGGCAGGTGTTTGGGATCAGGAAAGAATACAAGGGAAGAGTCTAGAGTATGAGATGTATTTTAGTCTTTATTTGGACCTAGAATGTTTGCTTTTAAATTTTTTATAAAACTATATTTTACACTCTTTTCTGACTTTTTAAAAAATATTTTTTAGTTTTAATGGATCTTTCATTTTATTATTTATATGCAGTACTGAGGATGGAACCCAGGGCCTCACATATGCCAGGCAAGTGCACTACCACTGAGCCACAACTCCAGCCCCTCTTTACTGACTTTTTAATTCAGAAAAATAAAAAGTATTTTTAAAAACCTAATGATATATTTTGTCCATATTGGGAGAACCATCTGAACTAGAGATTCTTTACCAGGAGTCCACAAACCCAATCTGTGAATGGCTTAAAAATCACTAAAACATTAAAATATTAAACTCCTAAAGGTGTCTGGGCAACCCTGAAATAACAAAAATTATTCAACAAAAACTCCATATACTTGTAATCATGGTGTCAAGAGACATGTAAAGGCTCAAGGTAAAAAAATACACATATGTAGAAAAAATAGTCAGCAGAAATAATTGTTGTGTAGCAAAAATACTTCTTGTTTCTTCAGGGTAAGTTTCTGCTGAGTAATTTGTTTGCTCATTGATTAATTCATCATGTTTCACATTATGCAGAGAGACACAGCTTCACTTCTAGATGCCTGAGTCCATGTGTTCAAACCACTGCATAATACAGATAAGAAAAAATAAAGGATTAGCCCTACCGTGACTGTGGAGACTTCAAGAGGATGACAAAAAAGAATACAAAACGCAAAAAAAAGAAAAAAAGATAAAACTCAACACTGGAGGAAGGTCTCATTGGGTTCTTTCACCAAGATCTATTTATCTTGTTAGTAGAAAGATAACTTTAAATAACATTCAATAATATATATCAATCCTATAGTTAAAACAGTATGGCAATCATTGCAGACCACACACCTCAGAACTGACTGTCCCAGCTTTCAAACCAGATGTTTCACTTTAGAAGCTCATATGTGATCTGCTTAAATGTGAAAAAGACTTCTGATCCTCCAGTAAATCAATGCAATAATATGATACCTGCCATTCTTTAGTTAGCATAAAGTTAATTGGGAAATTAACTCAAATGGGGAAGTTTCAAAAGTTGTGTTGAATCAATACCTCAATATGGTCCATTGCTTTCTTCCACACAGACTGCTTCTCCTCGGCACTGTGGCCAGGAATGGATAAGATGTTGTGAATGTAATTAAAGACTTCTTCCTGAACAACACAAGATGATATAATTTATTCATTAATTCACTCAGGCAATATTTTGTCACTATTATCTGTATCAGTCCTGGTAAATATTTATTATTTGGAGATGGAAAACCATTTGATATAGATATTTAACTGATGGAAAACTGACATTGAAGAGGAAGAGTAATTAAAGTCTAGGATAGACTCTTGGAAGTTACAGATCTGTTCCAATTCATTTTGGTCTCGATTTATTAACTTTTTCAATGACCTACTTGGAGAATATAATATCTTTGCTTCCAGTGATCCCTGTTTATATCGCTAATTTCATCTCAAAACATTCTTGCACTGGGCAAGGTGGCACACACCTCAGTGGCTGGGGAGGCTGAGGAAGGAGTTCAAACCCAGCCTCAGCAAAAGCAAGGTGCAAAGCAACTCAGTGAGACCCTGTCTCTAAAGAAAATACAAAATAGGGTTGGGGATGTGGCTCAGTGGTTGAGTACCCCTGAGTCCAATTCCCAGTACCCGCCCCTGGCTCTTGGCAAAAAAACCTTCTTGCTCTTGTCTAGTATGCTCCACCTATACTGATTTTCATTTCATCTATATGATCTCTATTCAGTCCCCTGAACATGTCTTTTCCCCTCATCTCAGGATCTTTCCATATATGGTTCCCTATCTTGGAACACTCTTCCTTTGGCTCTTTGTTTGACTGACTTCTCAAATTCCAAAACTCACTTTATACGTCACTTTCTCTGAGATAACTTTTCTGGCTTCTTTGTATAAGTCAGTCCCCCATTATCCTTCAAAGTGGTACCCAGTTTCTCTTCCCTAGTACCTATCATAATTTATAATTTTATACTTGGTTTTATTTGTTACCAGTCTCTATTACTAAATTTTTAAATTCGAAAATTGCAGGAATTATCTCTCTTTTAATTATCAATATGGACTTGGCTTAAACCAGAGACTCAGTAAAAACTGGTGAATAAATGAAGAAAACCTTGGTTCAGCAAACATATGTCTAAGTATTTCTAATGAATAGTTATTTCTATGTGATAAGGGCAGGAGGACTGAGAAAAAAGAGCAAAGAAGTCTCTTAACTTACCTCTCTCAGTGGGTCACGCAAGTAGCAATCAATAATTTTGTCATATTGGTGTTCTCGCTCATACATAAATTCACAAATTTGATAGCTAGAATGTAAAAGGAAAAACTTCAGTGTACCATACAGGCAGGTGGATATTAGTTTATTGCTATCTCATAACATACAGACTGATATTTTTTAAAATTAATAATGTGATTTCTACTGTTAAATAAAATACAGTTTGAGCACTCTTAATCTACAAGACTTAAAGAGTTTTTGACATCACAGCATTTCAGATATTGGATTTTCATATTAGGAATGCCCAATAGGTAAGGCACATGCAAATATTTCAAATTCTAAAATGTAAAATACTTCCTCTCCTAAGTGTTTCAGAGAAGGGATACTCAACTTTCATTAAATATATAAGGGAGATGAATATATAATATATTATATAATAATTATATATTAATATAATAATATTATATATAATAATAATATATAATAAGTTTAAGATGCTTCTGAATGCTATCTTTATAAGAAATTTCAAAGCTGGGCACAAAGAATGTTAAGAAAACAATGTGTCACATAAGAATCAAAAAGTTAGCTATTAATAAATAATATGCAAAAATTTTATGTGAAGTCTCTGTTCAAAGTATGTCAAAACATTCAATGAACTACACAAAGAAAAGTGTTAGCATATTGCATCTTATTTACTATGTTTATTTCTGCATTATTTTTATTCTATATAATTGTCAGAAAAATTTATAAAACACCATGAAATATTAAGTCTTAAAAATCTAAAATAATAAAACATTATAAGTCTGCAGTTTTGCCTTCATATTAAAACAAATGTAAAAAACAAACATTTTAAATTTATCTCATAAATTCCTACAAACTTTACCAATTTCTAGAATTCAACTAAAGGCCAAAACATTCATACTTAGGTTTTTGGTGGTGTTGTTATTTGTATAACCTTTCTTAATTAAAAAAGCAGCAATGCATCAATAAACTGGGCTTCAAGTTAGATGAATATAACTTAATAGTTGTATGGAAAACTAATATATGGCTTCAAAACAACTTACAATTCAGCTTTTTCTGCCATACGGATGAGCCGACTCTCTTCAAATTGAACAATACCTCCAGCCTGCAGCAATTCTAAAAGAACCTGTACATTTAAAATAAATGAGTAAAAACATTTTGGAATTTATTTTTATTTACTAGCTTTATAAGGATCCATTTAACCATGCAGACCATAGCATTTTTTTCTTTTATACTCTTACTTGGTATTTTGGCTCACTTTCACATATGCATGGGATTACTGCCATTAAAATGTTGACCATATTGTATTTAAAAGTCTTATAACAGATAGCTCTGCTTTTCAAACATCGCCAGAATGCCACAGTATTTGCAAATAAAGCCTTGTTAGAATACTGATCTGATCTCAAAGCTAAAAATGTCAGTATATCTTTTTAAGAAGGGAGTTTTTGCTTGGCACTTTATTTTTTTTATTTTTTTGGTGTTGGGGGTGGGTGTTGGGGAGGTGTCAGTGTGGTACCAGGGATTGAACTCAGGGGCACTCGACCACTGAGCCACATCTCCAGCCCTATTTTGTATTTTATTTGTATTTTATTTAGAGACAGAGTCTCGCTGAGTTGTTTAGCACCTAGATTTTTGTTGAGGCTGGCTTTGAACTTGAGATTCTCCTGCCTCAGCCCCCTGAGCCGCTGGGATTACAGGTCACTGTGGCTGGCTATTGACAGTTTTATGTCCTATGGTTCTTTAAAATCTGTTGTCCAGGGCTGGGGATGTGGCTCAAGCGGTAGCACATTAGCCTGGCATGCGCAGGGCGCTGCGTTCAATCCTCAACACCACATTAAAAAAAAAAAATAAAGATATTGTGTCCACTGAAAATTAAAAATAAATAAATAAGTAAGTTAAAAAAATCTGTTGTCTACATATAGTATCAATGTTTACATGCTAATTTTAAAAACCAAACATTATGTTTTTTTCATAATAGCACTATGCAGAATGTTCTAAATACAGAAATGACCTAAAGGTCCATCAAAGGTGAATGGATAAACAAAATGCGGTATATACATACAATGTGATATTATTTGGCTTTAAAAAAGGAAGAAAATTCTGACATGGTGAAATATGGATAAATTCAAAGATATGTTAATAAGTGAAATAAGTTAAAAACAAAAGGACAGATACTGTGTAATTGCACTTATGTAAGAAGTCTAGAATAAGAATATCCAAAGTCAGAAAGTAGAAGGATGGCTGTCAGGGGATGGGGGATTAAGGAATGGGGAGTACCTGTTTAATGCAAAAAGTTCAGTTTGGGAAGATGAAAAAGTTCTGGCAATGGATGGTGATGATGATTGTACAACAATGTGAATATACCTAATACCACTGGACTGTATGCTTAAAATGGTACATTTATGTTATGTATATTTTACAACAATAAAAAAAAATCACAGCTCATATAATTTTTACCATCCTAAGTAAATGAATAAAAAAAAGGACTAGAATGTTGAGCAGGGTTCATCAATACTTTAAATAAACCTCAAAAAACAACTGAGGCATTACACAGTCATTAGAACAGTATGAGAAAGGTCTCTCTGGTATCTAAATTCAGAATCCAGAGTAAAGTGACCATTCTCAGAACTTTAAGAAACCATCTAACAAAATTATTTTTTTAACATAATAAATTTTTATTATTTCAAATTAAATAAAAACTATCCAAATTGTACATCTTAGAACCCAAATTTAGTCCATTTGGAGCACATAATGTACTAAATATGAAGTGAATTGTATCTGCTGTGCCAATTTGAAATACAATAATAAAAATGTTATTGGAGAAGTTYATCTTAGCAATACACTGAAACTGTTAAATTTTCAAGAATTTTGCAAACTCATTATTAAAAAGAGCTTCTATGAAAAATCAAATTATATTAACAATTAAATAAATTAAAAACAAAGATAACTGATATTCAAAAGTCACCCATTCCTAAATGTTTTATTGTATTTTATATTATATACACTTGAGGTTATTTACATCTACTATAACTGCATCTAAATGGTAGAAATATTATAAATAAATGTGCTACTGTGCATCTTTTCAACTCCATGTTCAGTGACAACACTTTAGTAAATTAATTCAGCCACAGTGACAGTACTTAAACCATGGAAATTGGCAAATGCTACAAATTAGCAAAATGGTATTAAAATGTTATTTTTTTCTTTCCTGATACTGAAGATTGAACCCAAGGGTACTCTACCACTGAGCTATTCCCCAACCCTTTTTAAAATTTTTCATTTTGAGACAGGGTCTTACCAAGTTGCCCAAACTGGTCTTGCACTTGCAATCTTCCTGCCTCAGCCTCCCCAGTTGCTGGGATTACAGACATGCACCTTCTTATCTGGCTAAATATTCCATTTAATTTTTTTTAATTGTAGATGGATACAACATCTTTATTTATTTGTTTTATGTGGTGCTGAGGATTGAATACAGTGCCTCACATGTTCTTTACCACTGAGCCCCAGCCCCAGCCCTAAACAATAAAATTTAAAAGGATAGTTGAAAGAAAGAAAGAAAGAAAGAAAGAAAGATAGATAGATAGATTATATATATTTATGTGTGTGTGTGTGTGTGTGTGTGTGTGTGTGTCGCACAAAATCTAAAATATTTTATATTTGGCTCTTTATGGAGAAAGTTTACAGATCCCTGGTTAAGAAAGTGATAAAAATATTAATAAGGCAATTAAACTTAAAAGGTGTGAATGTCTATAGGCACTGAATTGTGAAGAAAACAAAAAACTGAGGCATTATTTGTCCAATACTCAAAAATTTTTCTATTTCAGCAAGCATTCACTGATGAGTGAGTAAAGTTCTGACATGCTTTCTGACTTCCATCTTGGACATTTACATAAGTGAAAATATCAACCAATATTTATTCATGTCAGAAGTATATTTGGAGAAGCAGTTGTTACGCATTTATCAGCATACCAATGAAATACACTAAGAAATACTTCATAAACAAAATTTGATATATAACAAGAGAATGAGTGTTGGATTAGAAGAAGTTCTGTTCTAATCTTAACTATGACCTTGAACAACTTACTTCAATGGTTTTTATGTTTCTAAAATGAGGCAAGGGGGAGAACTAGATAATCTCAAAGTGGACACCCAGTAATTAATTTATATATATATATATCATACTATGATGACATTCCAAGGTTTGGCATATATATAGATTTGGCTTTTCTTTCTGTTTAGTTATTATATTAAATGTTTTTTTATCATTTTATTTAGATAATATCATGCATACCATGATCTACATTTGCTGCCAATAGAGAAAACAAGGACAAAATTAGGGGACCCTCAATATTATTAGTTCAATATAATTTATGAGGTAAACAACACCTTAGCAGCTGTTCTTTCTTAAGATAGTCTGCAGTAATCTCTGGGACACAGCTGTGCAGACAAAGGGGTTACTGCCGTAATTTTATGCTCTTCATTTAAGTCTCAACTTGTGAGCTGTGCACTACAACCATAAGTCAGCACAACCCTCAAAATACTTAACTTTTTTAGTTTAGTTACCTGACAAAGTTTGGCTATCAATTTTATGTAGGCTGAGTCTCTTAGTGCTCAGCTTTACAATGCATGAGCTTTCAAAGAATTTTACTCCAAGAAAGGACCCTCAACAAAGTGGCATGAACAGAGGGAAGAGGTAATCAGTCGTTATCTCACAGAGACTAATGGAGGGGGAGACAGATTATAGTCTGCAGAATGATAAACCCTAAGGCATGGGAACATAAGGAACTCCCAAAATTTAGTGTGCCAACACAAAGAATCCTGTAGCCTTTTTGGTTCAGGGCCAGAGCAACCAGCAGTGTTTACTAGACTGATGATACTGGTGGAATGCAGAGGACAGCATGCTGAATGCAAGACAGGCCCCTGTCTAGGTATTTAGTCTGATATAAGTTCCTTACACAAGCACCCACACTATTTTCTGGTTGCCACTATCTTTAGTTTAGAGTTACAGTTTGGCACAAGTCCTTTCTCCTTTCTGTCTAGAGAGGCCTAGCACAAAAGAGTTCTTTCTGGCTTACTCTGACTTTTTCCCCATCCTTTAGTAAAATAAATTCTAGGAGTTCAAACCTGCTGTCTTTCAGAGTGTCGGGAGTCATCATCAGGACTACAGAGGAATTCAAGTACCTGGCCAAAGAAAAGGTAATCTTTACTGAATATCAGCACTCATACTGTAACACTGTCATAATGGAAACAGCAATAACTATCTTTTCAATATCAAAAATTTATTCACACTTGGCCATAACAAATATCACAATATGCAGGACCTTCCCAACCAACTGCCCAGTACATGAAAACATCAAAGTCAATCATGCAAACCATTTCATATGTGCCAAATGCACGTTTCTTTATTGTTCAGAAACACAGCTAGAAGGCAGTGTCAGCTGTATACCTTAAGTTCCTGGATTACATAAATGGAGCAAGCATGGACCTTATGCTGGACACTTGGATTTAAATCCTAACCTTACCAATACATGACAATAGCATTACTATTAATATCACTAAGTATGACTGGGTGAGTTATTTAACCTCTCCAGGCATCATCTGTAAAATGAGGATAACGGCACCTATTTCAAAATCATTAGGAAGATTGAGTTAAACATGTACATTAAAAGCTTTAAGCAGTGCCTGGTACTATGAARGGCTCAGTAAAATGTTAGTCATTATGGGCTACTTTCTCCCACCAAAAGTGTTTTCTTTGTCACCTATGGATATGTAGGAGATATTTAAGGGAGATTAGAAGATACCTTCAGTAAGTAAGTAATACCTTTAGCTTTTCCATAAGTAATCTTTTCATCAACATAGTCTTACTACCAATAATGATGGGGTGACTTTTTTTTCAGTTGAACCACTGAGCTACATCCCCCAGTCCTTTTTATTTTTCATTTTGAGATCAAGTCTCACTAATTTGCTTAGGACCTTGCTAAGTTGCTGGAAAACAGGTGTGTGGCACTATGCCCAGCTTGAAGAGGTAATTCTTAAATCAGAAATATCTTGAGCCAATATTTCTAGGTAATTTACAGCAAGAAAATAAATGAGAAAACAAAATCTCTAATAATCACACTCCCATAATACCAAGTGTTTAGGCAAAGTCTTATTATCAAGAACACATCATTAAGGCAGGCAGATAAACAGACAGACAGACAGACAGACACAGACACACACACACACACACACACACACACACACACACACACACACAGAATTTAGATCCAAAACCTTAATATGCCTGTCCTTGATAAGACATTTATCTAATAGTCTATCATTTTAAGAAACAGGGCAATCCATTATACTTTCTAAGAACAGTAAACAGAGAAAAAATTCTGGTCCTCACTTTTAAGACACTTACCTGATCAAAGAGGGTTCTGTTCACAAACAAGGTATTGTCAGGTTTTGCAAGCTGTCGAGCAAGGAAYGTAAAGAGACACCCTACTTGTGAGGGAGTAAAATCTGAATTCTCCACCATAACCTGGTGAGCCAAAGAAACCATTTATTCAATACATTATCTGGTTTGATGCAAATAAAAATATACAATTAGAAGGGGGGAGCCTCATTACTAAAGACTCATGAAAAGATTCTTTAATTGACTGTACAAAAATTAGTTCAATACCATTCAGAGAAGGAGCATAACTACTTGCATGCTCTGAAAGGAAAACATTTTAGTGACTTTGAGCATATATCTAGCACAATTTGAAAGAGAACTAAATTGTTAAAGAGGGAATATAAGAGTTCAAAGAAATAGTAATCATGTTTCCCTCTGGAATTCTTATAGAATTCTAGTAAAGTTAAATTTAAATAACCCTATTAAAAATCTGTCTATCAACAAGAGATGAAGAGAGTTGCTTTGGGGTTTAAAAGGAGATAACCATCCAGTAAAGGCACCTCAGAAAAAGAAATSAGTTACAACCGGCCTGCCTTGTTACTAGGAAGTTCTTGAGCTGCTGTTATGTACAACAGATATTTTACAACCACACAGAGTAACCAAATTCCAGTCAGTACTTTGCTTTAATTCAGCCCTCATTTCCTGAATCCCCAGGGGCTCTGACAGGAGCTTTTAAGGGAATTATGAACTAGAAAAGAAGCAAGATGGGTAAACACATTAAATAAAAGACATTATACAATTACACTATTATAAGGGCACAAATAATTTTACAGTGCAGAAAATTTAGTTGAATTGGCTTATGAAGGAATTTGAGAAGAAATGAGAAAAACAGCTTTTAAGCTAAGCAGAAAAGCCACATAGAACCTCTGGCAGGGGAAATGTCAGCAGAGAGAAGAGTGTGAGCAACAGCATGGACACAGTTTGTTCCGGAAACTGTAAAGTTCCATTAGGATGCAGCAGCATGCCTGAAGGGAGAGGAAAAAATCAGACTAAGAAGACTTGCCACCCTAAGGAATCTGAATTTAGTCTACAGAAAATTAGAGAGCCATGCATAGAAGCTAGAGAGGAAAAAGTAAAAGAAAGGTAGTGGGTAATCTCATGAAAATTGAAGGGAGATCAGTAGAGTAGAGGAAAGGGACCAGGACACAAGAAAAGGGAAATACCAGGAAATGGTATTGGTCAAATCATATTGTTCTGTTGTGTGTATATAAAGATGCAACAACAAATCCCACCTTTATGTACAACTATAATGCACCAATTACATGGATCATGTRCAGCCATAAGAATGGGAATCCTAATCAGAATAAGTTATACTCCATGTATGTATAATATGTCAAAATACACTCTACTGCCATGTATATCTAGAAAAAAAACAAATAAAGAATACTTTTTTTAAAAAATATGGGGAAAAAAAAGAAAACTGAAGAGCTACTAAACGTGTTTAGTCAGGAAAGTAGATTGTGATCAGTACTGTACTTAGGAAAGTATCTTGTTAATAGTATACAGGAAAAATATCAGAAGGAAGAAAGAGAAGGCAGGGATACCAACACGCAAGGGACTACAAAGGTCCCATGGAGAGAAAAAGAGTTCTGAACTGGGGCAATGGCACCAAAATGGAACAAGGAACAGGTACAAAGGCACTGCAGAGAGAGGAGACAGGACAGGATTCCTATGTGTGTCATTAAAGGAACAGTAAAAAAGGACACATTTGAGCATTATTGACCAGTAGCATATGATGCCATTAATAAAGAGAGAATGCAGAAATTTGTGAGGGAAGATCTGTATTATTTTGGGCTAGCTGAATTCATGGGGGCAACTCTATCACAAGTTAGGGAATAGTACCCTGGCACACCTGTTAAGAAGTTCCACTCTCTCTCTTCTATCCTCCATTCAAAGTGAAGTATAAGATTAATCTTATTATATAGCACTCCCCAGGGCCTGGCTCCTGATCTGCCTTTTCTGGTAGCATATCTGTCACTTTTACCTATCAATAGGTCTCAGCCCAGCAATCACCACTTCTTCAACCGTATAACCATTATCAGAGTACAAGCACAGTTTAAGTTATAAAATCCCTTTCTATCCATATCCATATGCACACATATACATTCCAGTCCAGAGTATTCAAAGAGCTTTCCACAGCTTTAAAGTCCTCAGCCATTAACCATCTCAGTGTGCAGGTCCCTTTTCTAGGACTATACTCTTGGGCCCCACTGCTGCTTTTCTCTTCTGTTAGCCCTTTGCTTTGTAAGTGGAAGCCCTTAAATTGTCTGACCCTACAAACACATTTTAAGATAACTGTTTCAACTCACAGCCAATTTCCTTGCCACTTCAGCAAGTCTCTATTGGTTATCATCTTACAAATTCCCCATTTTCTACCTTTGAAATAGTTCAGAGACTGTACTTATAAAATTTCCTGGGAAATCTTGTAAGAAATCATGAATTAAGCATTTCCTCCCTCTGTGTCTGCAGCCATCACACTTAACGATGCCCATTTACCTGTTCTCTGGTCACTGCCTGTACTCCTACTTTCATCGCCTCTCTCCAAAGAATGCTTTAACAAGCTAGTACAATTCCATTACCAGAATGAGAAAAATAATCTCCAAAGTTCACTCTTCACTGACCTGAGGCAAATATTATCAATATTAAGAGTGAGCCTGACCCCGAATCACTGGCTTCCTGACTTAYCATGTGATTGTTCCCTCTTCTGCACACTCCCTCTGTCCCATCTACCATACCGTGACACAGCCAAGGGGGCCCTCACCATAGATGAAACAAATGGGGTCACCCAATCTTGAACTTTCAGCTTCCAAAACTGTGAGTTAAATAAATCTCTTTTCTTTATAAAGTACCCAGACTGTCATTTTCTTATGAAATTAAACATAGTCCAACATCTATTCTTCCCTCCTAACTTAGAAACAGAACTCCTAATTTTTAGATAAGCTTGTGGTTAACCAGAACAAAAGACTATATATCTCAGTCTCTCTTAGCAGCTAAGGGCCATCTACCCTAATTCTGGACATTATGATGCAAGCAGAATTATAGTATACAACCTCTCAGAAGCTTCCTTTTTTTTCTTTTAACTTTTTATTTTTCTAATTAGTTATACATGACAGTAGAATGCATTTCAACATATCACACATATATGTAATACAACTTTTCATTCTTCTGGTTGTAAATGATGTAGAGTTACACAGATCATGTAATCATATAGGCACATAGGGCAATAATGTCCGATTCATTCTACTATCATTCCTACCCCCAGGCCCCCTCTCCTCTGTTGACTCCCTCCCCTCTGTATAATACAAAGTACCTCTATCCCCCACCCCGACTACTGTGAATYAGTACCCACATATCAGACAAAACATCCAGCCTTTGGTTCAGAAGCTTCCTTAATGACAGGACACATTTCCTTCTGAATTTCTTTTTGTATCCAGGCTGGCTAGAATGTGGAGGTGATGGCTGGAGCCTGAGCAGCCATTTTGAACCAAAAGACAGAAAACAGGTACTAAGTAAGACAGAAGGAAGATGAATCCTGATTAAGTTTGCAAACCTATTCTACCAGATTAAATTGCCTACCTCCAAATTTATATGAGAAAAATAAATTTCCACAATTTAAAATATGACCATTATGTGTTTTTTCTCAATCATAGCAGAACTTAAATCCAACTGTCCTAACAGGAAGCCACAGAAGAATATTAGAGAAGGAGCAACATTAGGAATAGAGAGATCATTTAGAAAGGTCCCTGGGGAATCCAGGTGAAGTTTTCCCATACTAACCATCTAGATTAAACTGGAATTACCTGGGAATTTAGCAACACTATTCTCATATTCATCACTGCCTATCTTACAAGTCTAATAAATAGAGTTCAGATTAATCAACAGTTCAAAGAGATAATGTATATGCTATAAATGTGCTTTGAATATTATAAAAACCTAGTATAAATGTAATACACTGATACATACATGCATAGATGATATGCACAATTAGAGAACATTTTAATTCTGTCTCTTTTCCAAAATAATCTTAAAGTCATTAAGAGGAAGAAAACTCCATTTTACAGCCARATGAATAGAATAAAAACTCTAAGCTTCCAACAAAAAGCCTACAGGAAGTTGTGCAGATGGGAAAGACGGGAATCTCTCTGCATTTGTTCATTAGCAAGAATATGAATCTCAAAATAGCTTTTTACTGAATCTAGTAAAATTCATATTGGGATGGTCATCTCTGTATTCCTCAAATCATTTTTTAAAAATATGTTTTTAGTTGTTAGTGGACCTTTATTTTATTTATTTATAAATGGTGCTGAGAATCGAACTCAGTACCTCACAAATGCTGGGCAAATGCTCTAGCACTGAGCTATAACCCCAGCCCCCTAAAATAATTCTTAAGTGTCACCTATCGTCTCAGATTCACAGTAAAAATATGGCACCACCATAGCAATGAAATGATGCTGGAAGACACTGAAGATTCTTCACATTATTTTCTCAAAGCACATGATCACATAACACAGAATTACCACAATGTGCATTTCTCAAGAGTAGTATTCTGTATCCCAGTATCCAGTTTGAAACAGAATATTAATGCTGAATATTCCATTTAGCTCTTGAGCACCAAGACACCATAATAAAATTATAAGACATGTTGCAACAAATAACTTCACTAAACAAGATTATTTTAGAACCTGATATAAAATGGTTCAATTCTCTTGTCTTATAAATATCAATACAAAGACATGTAATCATTGAATGCTTACTTTCAACAAAATATCCACAATGCGTTGTTGATATTCCACAGCTTGCTTGTCATTTTTAAAATCTTCAAAAGTCTAAAAAGGAGAAATATTTAAAAGTAATTATTACTTGCAAATTTGAAAAGGAAACATATTAAATTCTTTGTGGATAAAATCCAAGTAAATTCCCAAATATGATAACCACTCTACATTTTCTTATACACCTTTAACAATAAGTTATTTTTAGGAACTCAAGTAAAAAGTTAGAGTGCTTAATATTTCTAAGACCTTAAAAAAAATCAGTCATTGGGGCTGGGGATGTAGCTCAAGCGTACTCGCCTGGCATGCGTGCGGCCCAGGTTCRATCCTCAGCACCACATACAAACAAAGATGTGTCCACCAAAAACTAAAAAATAAATATTAAAAAAAATTCTCTCTCTCTCTTAAAAATCAGTCACTAAGAAATATTTATATATTTCATATATATATATGTATATGTAGTGGTTATCATACAACCAAGAAGTGTTTGAAAAAGTAATGCTATCCCAAAGAAGGCTATGAGTGTGTAAAGAAAAGAAAGAACACTAATGGCAAGAGAAAATTTGGAAACAAAGGTCAGAACAGATGGATGAAATACCACAGACTCAGACATCATTCAATCTGTTACTTAGAAACAACTGAAATGCTGCTTATTAATTGTCATGAAAAATAACTCCCATAATTTACATGACAATTTAGAAAAATGGATATTCAAAGACAGATTATTATGGTAAAAATGTCTAAATGTTAAAATTTTTAACTCTACTTACAAAGATTAGATATCTTAACCTCAAATCATTGCCAAATAAAGTACTTTTTATTTTATATTAGTGCTTAAATGGACCAAATATATTTTAAATATAACATGTATCAAAGAAAATGACTACACCAGATTCTGTTAGGCAATATATGATAACAGGATGTCACATAAACACCTAGAACATACAGGATTTATACATGAAGGAACTAAAATTGTATCCATTATCCAATAGTGGAAATTAAAATGTGTCCTATATAAGAAATTGACAGAAGACTTCAAGATCTTTCTTATTGTTTTCACTTAGCACATTTGGGTCTGAGAAATGTTTAAATCCACACAGCAATAAGTTACTACTATTTTCTTGAATCAAGAACAATGGTCCATCCCAGCAGCTCAGGAGGCTGAGGCAGGAGGATTTGTGAGTTCAAAGCCAGCCTCAGCAACAGCAATGCGCTAAGCAACTCAGTGAGACCCTGTCTCTAAATAAAATACAAAATAGGGTTGGGGATGTGGCTCAGTGGTCGAGTGCCCCTGAGTTCAATTCCAGGTACCAAAATAACAACAAAACAATGGACCATATATTGTCCCAATAGATTACCTTTCCCCCAAAATGGAATTTCATAGCTATGAACTTTTAGGAGTACCTCAGAGTTCTATTCAAACCAGAATACTTGCTGGTCTTTAAAAGGGCCCTGAATTGCCCCAGCTTCTCCAAAGTGCCATTGCTCTATTAGCATGCCTTTTCTTTCATTCTCTTATCTGGCACACAAAAGGTGCTTTAAAAATGACTTTTGAATTCTCTAATTATTTATAGAGAAAAACAGAATATCTTTTAAAAAATTGGTTCTAATCACTTATACATGACAGCAGAATGCTTTTTGAGACAATGTACACAGATGGAGCACAATTTTTCACTTCTTTGGTTGTACATGAAGTAGTGTCACACCATTGTGAAATCATATGTGTACCCAGGGTAAAGATGTCCATTGCATTCCACCATCTTTCCTACCCACCCCCCCCTTTTTTTTCAACTAGTCTGCTTTGCTGCCAGTTAGTTGAGAAATCCTGAAATGAGTTACCAAGGAGATTATAGGATCTCTTAATCTGGAAAGCTCAATCAGAAGATATTTTTATGTTTTACGTGGGTAAAAAATGACCCTGCTTGAAGTCAGGAAAATACAATAGAAAATTTCTCAGTTATATCTTTTGACGTATGGGAATGCCACACACACACACACACACACACACACACACACACACACACACACAAACACACACGTTTCTCTCTCACTCTCATCCCAGTCTGCTGGGATGAGATGTCACTCTGTAGATACACAGGGTACAATCTGCTAACGTAAATGCTATTCATCTAAAACACGAAAGCATGGAGCATTAACAAATGTATTTTAAAAACTACAGCAGTGACAGCAAAGAGAAAAGAATTTTCTTAGCCACTTTCCTTTTGGCAGCATGTAGTCACTGTTCTGAAACAGATACTGAAAATCTGTTTCTATAAATATAATTAAGTGGTGACATACTACAGTGTGAATGTTATGATACACATAATGACATATTTTGGTGGTAGTTAACAACTGCCATCAAAATGGCACATCATTGCTAGAACATTATCATGCCACAAAGATGCTTCTAAATATTCAATGTTTGTTAGAGGAATAATAAGCAAAGATGTCTTAATGGAGAATTACAGTTGCTTAACCAAAAGTGGACTTAAAACCCTAGTTTAAACTAATCTGTGAATTTAGGCATAAAACCTTCTTTCTGGAGTCCCTTAAAATTTACTATGGGGTTTCTGGATGATAATGACAGCAAGCTAAATCCTAATCCAGGAGTCAACAGACATTCTCTATAAAGAGCCAGATAGTAAATATTTCAGTTAGTAAATATTTCAGATAGTAAATATTTCACCACTGTAATTCTAGTTCACCTTGTCAGAATTCTGGAAGCCTAAGTATCTAACTATATAATTAGCCCTATCTTTTCACATCTTGGTTATCCATATTCCATTGTCTAAATTTAAGCCACCATTATGTTTTGTCTATATGACTCCAAAAATTTGCTACCAGATCTCATCTCCAATCTTATTTCATTTCAATCAATTTTCCATATGCTATGGTCTAAATGTTTGTCTCTATCCCCTCCAAATTCATACTGAAAATTGAATTACCAATATGACAGTATTAGGAGGTGGACCCTTTCAGAGGTGATTAGAACATGAGGGCAAAGCCTTCATGAATGGGATTAGAAACCTTACAAAACAGGCTCCAGAGACATCCTTTGCCCATTTGCACCACATTAGAACACAGCAAGAAGGCCACACATGAAACAGAATCTGCCATCAACTTGACCTTTGAATTCCCAGCTTCCAAAAAATGTAAGAAATAAATTTCTTTTTATTTATACACCACTCGATCTATGGTGTTTTGTTATAGGCTCAAACTGACTAAGACAAAACAGTCAGAGGGGAATCTCTTTAAATCAAGATATTCCTCTTCCTAAAAGGCTTCAACAGTGACCTACTTTTGTAGAATAAAACCCAAATTTCTTACTATAGATTACAAGGCYAGTGTCTGCCTCTCTATATATATTTCTTTCTGAACTTTTTCCTATATTTAAAGATGCAGACATGCTGAACTTTTTTCTACTTGAGTACTCATTGGTCCGTCTCATTTCCAGGCTTTTGAAAATATATTCTGACCTTCTGCCTAGAATATCTTTCTGTACTCTTCACTGAACTTCTACTCATCCTTGAGATTTGGTATGAGTATCATTTCATCCAAGAAATCTTCCTTAGTTTTCTTTAGGTGCCCCTCCTAAGTGTTCCCAAAGCATTCTGCACTTCCCCTAAGGCATGTATTACACTGTGGTATAATGTGTWACCTACAAGTCTGGATCCACTTCCTCCATAAGGGCAGGATTTACATCTTGTCAGTTAGGGATATATCCCCCAGTTAGTATAATATCCCCTAACAGAGAATATACTAGGCACTCAGATATTTTCTAAGCAAATAAGAGAAAGAGACYATTCTGCAGCCTTACTATAAATGCCAATATCACAATTCAGACATTGACATAATACCAATTGTGCTTCAGTACTACCACAGCCTTTAAAAAATAAAAATTAGGGCTGGCATTGTAGCTCAGTTGTAGAGTGCTTGCCTAATACAAATGAGGCATTGGGTTTGATCCCCAGCACCACATAAAAATAAATAAATAAATAAATAAATAAAGGAATTATGTCCATTTGCAACTAAATATATTTAAAAAAAATTTAAATCATGCAAAATTCTTTGTTTTCTCTACCACTCTTCCCCAAACCCCCATCATTTCCTGTTTCTTTTTGCCTAAGTGCCAACTTATGTTCTCCTGTAGAGGTCCAAGGTCTAAACCAACTAGACCTAACCTCCAGTTCTGAGTTTCTTTTCCCTTCTTTTTATGAAACTAAAGTTATGGCTGCTGAAGTCAGATTTTAAAATTAAACCAATTCAAGCTATGATATAATAACATTCTGATGGGTACTTATCTTTTTAGAATAATTTAATAGTTTATTATTCAACTTAAAAAAGTAATATATGCTCACAGGGAAATCTGACCCATCTTACAAAGTTAATTATTTTTTTTTCAACTGTACTTTCATTTTATTTTCATCTTATTGTAGAAATCATATTAAGGTAGTTCTATAATGTACAGTAGAATAATGGGGGGAAAACTTTGAAAGTCATTTTAGAAACTACAATGTGTTTGTTCATCCTAATAACATTCTTTTACATAATAATTTCTTAAGAGATTTCTCATTTTAAACCAATATTACTTTTTAGTTGATGAAAAGAGGAGATTGGAGTTTATTATTGGCTGATGTGGAAATATCCTGCAGAGAAAAGATGCAGTGAGTTAAGACTGAAGTCATATTGAGGTTCTTGAGATTGAGCATAATTCAGAAAATAATCAGGAGTTCTTGGCCACATCTTGACTATAACTTTGATAGGATTATTAGTCAATGAACCCTGGGTGGTAGCCAATGGGAAATCATGCCAGGGAAAGTAGTTGTCAGAGGACCTAAGTTCTGTTCAATCTATACAAGTGGAGTAGGCTGCCACATTGTGAAGACTGAAAAGTTTGTTTGTTTTTTAAAGTTTTTGCTAAATAGACTTTTAAGTAGTAAAATAAAAATCCAAAGTAACTCTCATAAACCAGATCCTCTGTGAAAATCAATATATTCTTCAAAAGTTATTTTTTATGTCTAAAACTGCTTTGCATGGGAATGTTAGCAAAAATGACC